CCATAGAGGGCGCCGGCGTGCCGCGGAGGACCAGGCAGCCCCGCGCGTCTCCGCATCCCAGCTATAGGTGCCTGCCCCCCCACTCCTGGGTCTCCAGGCGGCAATTGGGTGGTGCACTTCCCCTTACCAATTTCCTCCCCTATAAATCAGGGTGCGGATAGGCGCCTGGGTTTTACAGTTTTCCATCGCCTTCCCTCCAGCCACACCCCATAAACTTCTCAGAGAGCCGGGCCCTGTCTTTGATCAGTCAGTCTTCTAACTGCTATCATCCAGCATTGCCTGAGCCTTCCTGCTAAGCCAGCAGTGCTGGGCTCAGTGCCTCACACCCCCAACAGAGCTCTATCTATTCCATTACTATCCCATCCCACCGCTTGGGAAACAGGCTGGGTATTTCACAATAGAAGAAGAGATCCTGGGATAAGAACCCAGAAAATCTGACCCTGAAGCGCTGCCTCTTTTCATTCCCTTTTCGCCATCTCTACCGCCTCAGACCTGGTCCATGTCCCCGTCATCTCTGGCCTGAGCTCTAGCCTCAACCTCTTCCAGACCTCCCAGCTGCTTGGTTCTGATGCATTCTAGGAGTGTGCCACCCCTGCTTAATTCCCTTCCATGGCCCCACTTGTCCTTGGGCTAATGCTTATGCTCTCGTGGCCCCGCTGCTGGGCTCCCATTGACCCAGCTCTGGCCTCATCTCCCGGGAAGACCTGAGACAGTGGCCAAGGCCCCAGCTGGATGCACCCACACACCTCAACCCCACTGGTCACCTCCAAGCTGTGCTCCCGCCTCTCTCGCCGCAGTAGCAGCAGCTCCTCGTGGGTTGCCTGTAGCCTGCCCTGGCCCTTCTCCACCTCCTCACGCAGCCCTCGGATCTGGGCCTCCAGGTCCTGTCGGCGACTCTGCAGCATCTGGTTCTAGGGAAAGGCCTTAGAGCTGGAGGGGAGGTGCTGGGCTAGCTCCCGATGGCCCCTAGCCCAGCTTTCCTGGCTCCACACGCCCCCAGCCCTAGCTGGCACTCACCTCCCCCTGCAGACTTTCCAGTCGTGTCCTCAGCTCTGCCCTGGCCAGGGCCTGGGCCTGGCACTGTCCCCGAAGGCCATCTAGTTCCTTCTGAAGCCCCTGCTCAGTCTGGGAGGCCTGGTGGTGGTGGTTGGGGGCGAGAGGGGAATGGGGGAGCCCTCAGGTGGCCGAAGCCTCAACACCCATCCCAGGGCACCCGCCCCCCAACTGGGACCCAGGAACCTGGATGGGTTAGGGCTGTCCCACCTGGGCCAACTGCTGGCTGAGCCGCAGGTTCTGCTCGCTGAGTTCCCTGAGGGCCTGGGCTCGCTCTCGCCCACTGTCCTGCTGCTCCGAGCGTTGTTCTCCAAGCTGGGCCCGCAGGGCCTCCACGTCCCCCTCCAGCTCCACAGCCCTGGCCTCCCACTCAGCTCCCCGTGCGGCCAGGCCCCGGCGGAGCTCGTGATTCTCCTGCTGCAGCCGCTGTGGGGCCAGAACAGAAGGTCAGAGAGAGGGAGAGATGAGACGAACAAACACGAGAGCCCCAGACTGAGAAACAGACCTAAAGAGTTTGAGGGAGTCTGAGACAGGGAGGGAGCAGGCAGAGAGCAAAAGGCAGATTCAGAGAAAAGGAGAGCAGGGTGGGGCACAGTAGAGAGAAGTTTCCAGGCCCGACAGGAGGGGCTGCCCCCCCCCCCGCCCCTCCGGCCATGAGGTGGGGCTCCCTGATGCCCACTCACCTCTGGCTGCTGCCTGGACTTCTGGACCCGATGTTGCAGGCGCCGTTTCTGGCGCCTGAGTCTGGCAGAATTTAAGCCCCGGCCCATGGTCTCACACAACTAGGGGCTCTGGAGGTTGAGCTTCAGCACAGCCTCTGCTCAGTCCCTCTCCCCCAGCTCCTCCCCGCCAGCTCCCTCTAATTAACCCTGGCCAGCCCCTCCTGGGCCCCACGCCTCTGCCCGCCCTCTCCCAAACCTGTCCAGCGAGTGGGAGGGCAAGCCTGGCACACCCAGATACCCAGCGTGGGGAGGCAGGCAAGTCAGCCCCACGCTCTAATTATCGAAGCGGGAAAGTGATGCCAGCTACAGTGGCTACAGTTATTAGCAGTACTCCTGCCAGGCCGCGTGCTGCTTCATTCAATCCACTAGAGTTAGAATCGTTAACGTCCTCCTTGTACAAACGAGAACATAGGCTCCGAGAGGGAAAGATGCCTTGCCAAGGACACACAGTGAATTAGTGGAGCAGGGACCCCAACCCAGGTAGCGGGGGTTTTTAACCCAACACTGTGGGGGCAACACTTCTCTAGGATTAAGCCCACAGGATTGGGGTCCAATGGTCTTGGCTGGTGCTCAGCTCTGCTGCTGCTTTGTGGTCAGGCAAGTCCCTTAATATCACCATGTCCCATCCATTCATCCATCCACCCATCCATCCATCCATCCATCCACCCATCCATCAATCCATCCATCCATCCATCCCACTCCCTCCCCTCTATTTCCAGACGCCTGGCCTGCCTGCCTGTGTCCAAATAACTGGTCTGCACGGTTGATCTGGTTGCTGTGGGCAGTGGTCTCAGCGGCTGTGGCCTGCTTTCATGCATGAGGACATGCAGACTGCAGTGGGATCCTCTTCAGCACATCTGGATGCTGCCGCTGCTGGTCCAGATGTGGGGCCTGTCTGAGCCAAACTGGCCTCTGGGCTGGGCGGTTCAGGCTTATGATCGCCACCTGCTGGTCAAGTCCTTTTGCTGGTTCTGGGGCCAGACTTGTCTCTAGACAGGTGTATGTATGTACAGGGGCACAGGTGAATGTGAATCAGTCTGGCTGCCAGTTCCATTGTGATATTAATCCATCCATCCATCCATCCATCCACCCATCCATCCACCCATCCATCCACCCATCCATCCACCCATCCACCCATCCATCCACCCATCCATCCATCCATCCATCCATCCACCCATCCATCCAATATTGCCTGAGCTCCTCCCGTTCTGGGGCCTGGCTGTCGGCAGGAAGCCAGAGCACAGCGCTCCCTGCCTCAAACAGCTGCGTCCAGAGGTCTTAGGCAGACAGACACATGCGTGAACTAGGTGTTTTGGAGGGACAGTAAGGGCTGTAGAGAAACCCTGGAAATAATGAAGAGCAGGGTAGGGTGGAGGCTCCCCAGGTAGGAAGTGATGTTTGAATGGACTCCTGCAGGGCAAGAAGGAAGAGGGCTAAAGGCAAGGAACAGTAAGTGCAAAGGCCCCGAGGGAACCAACTCGGGCTACTCAAGGAACTGAAAAGAGTCACCCCCCCCCCGCCCCCCTGCAGTAGGAGGGGTGGTAAGCTGAGCTCAGGTTGGGGAAGCCGCCCATGAGCACTTTTAGGCTCTGGTGAGGAGTTTCGATTTCAGTCTAAACGTGATGAAGAACCTTTGGGAGAATCTGAGCACGGACTGGAATGATCTGATTTGTAATTTTTGAAGCTCCCTCTGGCTGCCCCATAGGCAGTGGGCTCCAGGGAGCAAGAGGAGAAGCTGGGAACCGGTGAAGAGGTGGCTGCTGTGTCTGGGGCAGAGACAATCGAGGCTGTGACCAGATGGGAGGCTGCAGAAATGGTGAGGGGGCAGCCTCCCGATCCTGTTTAGAAGAAGAATCAATAGGGCTTGCAGGCGTGGTAGAGGAGGTCATGGAGTTGCTCAGGGTCTGGTCCTGAGGTGGGAAGCTGGGGTGGGGACAGTGGGTGATGGGTCATAATGGAGAGTGCCACTTATGTGGAGAGGTGCAGGGAGGTAGCTACTCAGGTTGGGCTCGGGGCAGCCGTTGGGGCTGATGACATAATCCCGGAGTCAGGGGTGCCCAGGGTGTTCAGGGGCCAGATGTGACCCTAGCTGTACCATGTGACAGTGTGGCTGACAACAGAAGCTGGGCAGAGGAAGGAATTGCTCCTACCGTAAAGGTGGAGCGAGAATTGACAGAGAGGATGATGCATGGAAAGAGCTTAGCCTAGAGCCAGGCGGGGAGTGGGAAGGGATTCCCAGGAACTTGGCTGGGGTTGCTCTATACCAGGGGTCCTCAAACTACGGCCCGCGGGCCACATGCAAATACAAATATTGTATTTGTTCCCGTTTTGTTTTTTTACTTCAAAATAAGATATGTACAGTGTGCATAGGAATTTGTTCATAGTTTTTTTTTTTTTTTAAACAATACTCCGGCCCTCCAACGGCCTGAGGGACAGTGAACTGGCCCCCTGTTTAAAAAGTTTGAGGATCCCTGCTCTATACTACTGAGGAGGTGGACCCAAGATTCAGAGAGGGCCAGCCGCTTGCCCCGGGTCACACAGTCAGGCCGGGGGGTCTGATTCCAGGTCCTGACTTGTCCTCAGAGCCCATGTTCAAACAACACCGCCAGGGGGACTGGGCCCAGCCCCGAATTATTCCCGAAGCACCCCCCTGCCTGGCTTTCCACCCCTGCTCACCTGCCCTCCATCTGCCCACCCTGCCCCCTGCCTGCCACCCCTGCTGCCCGCTCACTTCCTCACGCTCCGAGTGCTGGGCGCTGAGCGTCTCCAGCTGCCGCTGCAGCTCCTCGTTGCGCTCCAGAAGCATCTTGCCGAGTTCTGCAGCCAACAGCAAGTCTTTCTCCTTCTGCTGCAGCTGCAGGGCCAGATCCTCGGGCTCCTGGGGCCCTGGGCCCCCTCCCAGGAACGAGTCCCGCCGCTCCAGCACGAAGGGGAAGAAGCCCTCGTCACAGCTGGGGGAGGTGCCGCCGGAGAGCAGCCCCACCGGGAAGCTTGGCCCTTCTGGGGAGTTCATGGTGCCGCAGTGTCTGGGGGGACAGGTAGGTCTGTGGCACGGGTGGCGGCAGGACACTCTACCCTGCAGCCTGGGGCTTGACAGCTCTCCCCACCCCCCCAAGACCTGGCCCTCCCTTAATTCTTCACCTGTCCACCGGCCCTCCCAGTCTTTCAGGCAGGGCCTCCCTGTACCATGAAGGGTTAATGACCCGTGTCTGGGCCACTCAGCTCAGTTAATGTCCCCAGGGTAAACTGAGGCAGGGAGAAGCAGGAAATGAATGGGCTGCCTTCTGCCTCTAGCAGACATTCTCTGCCCCCGGCTTGTCCCAGTGCCAACACTCCCTGCCTCCCTCTTCCTAGATTCCAGATGGATTCTGGTTCCGAGCCTCTCACGGTCCCGGAGACTTCCCCAGAACCCAGGTTCCACGGGACGAAGGACTCAGGGGCGAGTCCAGACCCTTTTCCTTCCAAGAATACAGGGCCTTGGGAACGGAGGTGTCCTGACCCTCGGCCCCCAGCAATCCAGCCCCTCCTCTTCCAGGAGCCCAGGTGCCCACCCAGCTCCGGGGGACTCAGGTGCCCGCCCAGGTGTCCTGGCCCCGTTCTCCCGTGTTCTCAGGAGTCAGGTGTTTGGCTCCTCACCGCTCAGAACTCGGGTGCCCAGACGCTCAGCCGTCTCTCTGGAGTGTAGGCACCAGCCCTGCTCCCCAGGCCCGGGCAGGGCGAGGTAACAGGTTGTGCCAGCCACACTGCCCTGCCAATCCTGGTTCCTGTTTACTCCCCAGCGCGCCGCTGGGGACAGGCGCTGGCGGCACTCCCCTAGGGCCTCCCAGGGCCCAGCAGTTCAGGGCTCCAGAGGGAGGGGACACAGGGGGCTTCCCTGGGGTAACCCCCAACACACACCCCTGTCCCTCCCTCTACTCCCCTCACCAGGCGTCCCAGCCCAGGGATCCCAGCAGTCCCAGGCCAGCTGCCCTCAGGCTGCACCCGGGGTCTCCCTGGCATGGCCCCCGCAGCCCGGCCTGCTCTGGGGATTCCGGGGCGCCCCTTCCTCCCTCCCCGTACCTCAACCCAGGCGGCAGGGCCCAGAATCCCTCGAACCCCCAGCCCAGGTGTCAGGGGTGGGAAGCCCAGCCACCGCCTTCCTTGCAGCCTGCGCCCTGTGCTTCCCGGGCCCGGGAGTCCGGCCGGTGCCTCCAGCCCCCAGCCAACCACACCAGCCCGCCCCGGCGCTGTCCAGCCTGAAGCTCGGAGGACCCCGGTCCCCCGGTCCTCAGCGCCCCCTAGGCTCTCACCCGACGATGCCTGGATCCCGCCGAGACCCCTGCCGTCCGATCCCTTCTTCCGGAGGCGGCGCCAGGTGCACAGGTGTGGGGCGGTGCCGTGGGCGGGGCTGGGGCGCCCCCTGGTGACCAGAATGGCCAGGCGGGGCCCAAGGAAAGTCACCTCAACCCAGGTTAGAGGCACTGACCATCTTGCTCCTGTCAGGAACAACAGGGCCCCTTAATTGAGCACCTACTGTGTGCAGACTCTGCGCTGAGCATCCATGTCAGCTCCTTTCCCCTCACAACTGCCCTGTGGGATAGAAAAGAATTTGTTTATATATTTTTATTTATTTTTCAATTACAGTTGACATGCACTATTATATTAGTTGTACATAGTGATTTAGATACCTTACCAAGTGTTCCCTCCGGTAATTCTATTCCCCACCTGGCAACACTCATAGTAGTTACAATATTATTGACTATGCCCCCTACGCTGTACTTTATTTACATCCCCGTGACTATTTTTACTTTATTATTATTATTATTATTATTAAACAAGGCCACCAAAAATTTGGTTGCCTCCCATGACTATATATATATAGGAATTGAACCCAGGACCCTTCTGTCCACAGGCTGATGCTCTATCTACTGAGCCAAACTGGCAAGGGCTCCCACGACTATTTTTAAAACAAATGTGTGTGTTTTTGCCCAGCCAGTGTGGCTCAGTGGTTGAGTGTTGACCTATGAGCCAGGAGGTCACGGTTCGATTTCCAGTCAGGGCACATGCCCGGGTTTTAGGCTCGATCCCCAGGGTGAGGCATGCAGGAGGCGGCCCACCAATGATTCTCTCTCATTATAGATGTTTCTCTCTCTTCCTCCCCCTCCCTTCTTCTCTGAAATTATTAAAAATATCTTTTAAATAAATGTTTTTATTGATTTTAGAGAGAGAGAGGAAGGGGAAGGGAGAAACATCAATGTTGATCGACTGGTTGCCTCCTGCACACCCCCTGCCAGGGATCAAGTCCAAAACCCCGACACGTGCCCTGATCAGGAATTGTACCTGCGGCCTCTTGTGCATGGGTTAACGCTTAACCACCGAGCCACATGCTGGGCATTTTTTTTAATTATTAAAAGTATGTTTTTATTGATTTTAGAGAGAGAAGAAAGGAGAGAGAAAGAGAGATAGAAACATCAATCAGTTGCCTCCTATACACCTGCCATTGAGGATCAATCCTGCAAGCCAGACATGTGCCCTGACAGGGAATTGAATCGGTGACCTCCTGGGACAATGCTCAACCACTGAGCCACACCGGCCAGGGCTCTCTGATTGCTGGGGTCCGACCCCAGCAGGTCCAGGGGTCCCCAAAGGTGTGGACGGAGTCGGCAAG